CGCACGTCGCTGACCGGACCTGGTGGCCGTGCCAAACGACTTGTCCTTGCCAGCAAGCGCTAGCGTGCCATCGCAGATGCTGACATGATGTCGCCGGCTGCACTTGGCGCACTTTAACGTTGACTGGCAGTTGCGGGCCAAGTGATGCTGCTTGAGGCACACGAAGCAACGCCCGTCCTGTTTCACTATTTCCTTCCTTCTCGCGAGTGAAGTAATAACGGAGCACTGTGCGGCAGCGTGATCTTGAGAGCAGTAAGCACAAGGGTTGGTGGACAACACTGCTAACGCAGACGCCGTAGCTGGTCCAAACCTGGAAGGCTTGGCGGATGGCGGTGACCGGGAGCCCAGTGTCATGTTGGCGATGCTGTGCAGCGTCTCATCCGCCTCCGTGCGGAAGTCTGCTTCGCGCAGCACCCACTGCAGTAGGTGGGGTACGGACTCCTCAGCCCCTGTGTCACATCGCCATCTGTTATAGTTGGTCAGCAGCTCCGGGCCCAATTTCTGCTGCACTTGGGTGCAGAATGTCCCTGCGGCCAATTCGCCATGTCGCCCAACATCCTGCAGGTTGATGATAGCGACTTGCAGCAAGTCAGCAAAGCGCTCAAACTCTGCGGCAGTGCCCCGATCCCGAATGGGCGTAAACTGGGAGAGTGCGGTCATGTGGACGGCCGTCTTACGACGAAGGCCACCGTACTTGTGTTCTAGGCGACTTATCGCGGCTGAGTACGCGGACGCTGAGTAGCCAAATGCCTCAATGCTCTTCAGCGGCGGGCCCGTGAGGCACTGGCGGAGTTGAAGGAGCTTCAACTCGGCTGATATTGGCTGCTGATCCACGCACACCATGAATGCCGTACGCCAGGTGTCGTACGCCTTCTTGTCGCCACTGAAAGTTGGGATGGTGATCTTCTTCAAATGGCGATAGACATCAGATGGTGCCGCGCTGTGTGGACTTTGACCTGAGGAACTGTCAGGTGAGGGAGTCAGTGCAGGTGGCGACAATTGCGGCGTAACGGGTAAACGTGCTGACTGCGATGACAGCGTCGGGTTTTGACTGTATGGTCGGAAGCCGCTCCGAGTCTGGTCTGGCGTCGACAATGCGTACGACGGTTGCTGTGGTGCTGCGTGCGGCGGCAGCTGTGGCGCTGCGTGCGACGGCTGCTGCGGCGCTGCGTGCGGCGGCTGCTGCGGCGCTGCGTGCGGCGGCAGCTGCAGCGGTTGCTGTGCGGAACTTAAAAACGCTGTGTACAGCGGCTGCTGCGGCGCTGCGTGCGGCGCTGCGTGCGGCGGCTGCTGCGGCGGCGCTGCGTGCGGGGGCAGCTGCAGCGGTTGCTGTGCGGAACTTAAAAACGCTGTGTACAGCGGCTGCTGCGGCGTTGCGTGCGGCGGCTGCTGTACGGAACTTGAAAACACGGTGGACAGCTGCTGCTGTGTGGCCTGCGTCGACGATTGTCGTGGCACCGAGTGCGACGGCTGCTGCAGAGAACTACTGGAAAACGCTGTGTACAGAGGCTGCTGCACCTGCGTTGACGACTGCTGTAGCGCAGAGTAGGACGGCTGCTGCACCGAACTACTTGTACTTGACAACGCTGTGTACAGCGGCTGCTGCCTGACCTGTGTTGACGACTGTCGTGGCGCTGAGTGGGCCGGCTGCGGCACGGAGCTCGAGAGCTCTGTGTACAGCGGCTGCTGCGAAGCCGGAGAGCTCGACGCCGTGTACGATGGCTGCGGCCGAGAGTTCAAAAACTCCGTGCATGGCGGCTGCTGCGAAGCCAGAGAGTTCGAAGACGCCGTGTACGACGGCTGCGCGTGCAGCCGAGAGTTCGAAAACTCCGTACACGGCGGCTGCTGCGAAGCCAGAGAGTTCAAAAACTCTGCGTACGACTGCTGCGTCGGGGAGTTCGAAAACTCCGTGCACGGCGGCTGAGCCGGCGATGTTGACCTCGGATTTGAGAGGCTCTCTGTAGCTGTGGCCATCAGCCCACGCGGAGGCTTGACCTCGAGGTCATCAGTGAGCGCCGCATGTGGGTATACCGGATCCCCGTTGACATGTATGTCGGGCGGACCTTGGTCAACGCTGTACTCATGGACATGGTACTCATACGACGGGACGGCCTGGCCCTGCGTAGGTCTACTTGCACTGGACAGAGCAGCTGTAGCCCGTGTACATGGTGTAGGTGCACCCAAAGACACACTGACATTCGCACTACCTGTGGTGCTACTCTGCATATGTGTAGATTCTACGTGTGTGGATTCCTGTTGTAACTGATCCTGTGCAGCTCGCACTGTCCTTGCCGCAGACACAGACTCCAAATACTCTCGTACTCGATCAGGGTTGCGTGAGTACCGCACACCCGTCGCCTCGCTGGTGCACGTACTATTGTAACGGCTCATGCTAGCCAAAACTGTACTCGCACGAGTAACAGCATCTGTATACTGGTTTTCCAGATCATCAGCATCCTTGCAAAGACCATCAAGAAACACACTGTCCTGACTGGTACTACATGCGCTGGATAACTCGGTGATAATCTCCATCACGGCGTTCAGGCCGTTCTCAAGTAAAACAAGATTGTACTTGATCTTGTCTTTGTCTAAGTCTGGTTCATCGATGGCGACGAGTAGTCCGCGGCGAAGGTTCGTGAAGGTTGCCTTCGCCTTCGCTTTGGCGATCTTCCGCTTCACTACGTCAGCCATCGTCTGAGAGGCTCGAAGGACCAATTTACAATTTCTGGAATCAGTCTCGAAGATTCATTGTAAGGAAAAATATGTCTCTCTTGTCTCGAAGGAGAAAACTCAAAGAACAAAAGACAGTGAAGCAAAACCGCCAGCAAATCAAGCTACCGTACGCTTTCCAACGGCGAAAGGCGATAGTGCGGGAAAACACGAAGATACAAGGAGAAGACTGTAAGCTCAGGTAAATGCGAGAGAGGAGTTGGTGATAATCAAGAATGAGATAATCAAGAATGGAGAAAGGAAGATCAAAAGAGAGAGAGAGAGCGAGAGAACGAGGCTGTCTGGCGATCGTATGCAATATCTCACAATATTAGAGATAATACGGTATAAGTTACTAGTTATGACTAACAGTCCACCAAGGTAACGAGATAATATACAGTCAGATAGTGTGACAGCAATTGTACCTAAATCAGAAAATCTAACGAGTAAGTAAATCTAACGTTTTAACGAGTGACATTTCTTCATTGTAATAAGTTCTGTTTAGGCTGTTGTGCCTCATATGTGTTATGTGCGGATATGCCTGAAGACTGCAAGGTCGATTTTGGACAATTGTTAAATTGTCGACTCGTTGTAATACTAATAGCACGTCTCACAGTATTTGAGAGAGCTGCTGTTTTAACTCCACACAAGCTGGCGCTAGTGGGTCCACAAATGGCTCCGTGCTTTATGAGCTTATTATTATTATTATTATTAAATTTTTGATAGGGCAATCCCTTGTGCTGACGCCCGGGCATGTACATGTATAGAATAAGCTGAGTCCCGAGAGAAAAAACCCTCGGCAAAAAACATCGGCTTCGCCTCGGTTTTTTGCCTCGGGTTTTTATTTCCCATAAACACGAGGGCGAAGCTTATTTTCTATTTAAATTATATTTTATAGCATAAAAAACCTCCAGCCATTTTCCTAAAAAGTGGTTTTTATAGCACCAGGTTTTTTATACAGGTTTTTTACAGCACCAGGTTTTTTATAGCACCAGGTTTTTTATAGCACCAGGTTTTTTATAACAATACCAGAAATATTACCTGCTTTTTAGAACACGCAAATGACTGGAGGTTTTTATACTATAATTATTTAAGTACACTGTACTCATACACAACACCCCGGCTACCGTGCCTTGTCACAATCGATAATTCCGGCTTCCATATGGCTTCTGCTCAACATACACTGTCTTTAAGGTGCCGCGGCGACATTACAGTGTGCGAAACAAATGGGGAGCTGCACGATAGGCTTTTGTCACAGAGCTGTTTTGTATTTAGTGGGATCACAAGCACCAGTTTGCTTCTCAGTGCAAATCAGGCAGTAGTAAAATACCAATTTTACTACTGCCTGCTGAATCATGATAATTATCTTTGGCATGATTACCTGGGTCGTGCAGTCTGTCACTTACTAGACTAGTCTTTGACTTGTCAATGGACTGACTCTTTGTATCATCACTTCACTGTATACGTCGCGCGACGATACCATACCATACGCCGCTTTACGCGATACGACGTTTGCAAACGAATCTGCAGTCCTGAGCCCTGAAAAGGTTGATTTGGGCCTGGGGAACACTAGTACTGTACTGTACATCGGGAAGTGTCTGAGAAGTACATGACTGTACTACAATAATTATTGTAGTAGAAAATTAATAATTGACTACAAAACTCAGAAGTCTGTGACTTGTGTGCTTAGACTTGGACTTGAGTTAGAGGTCAGCTTCACACCAAGTAAAAAGACAGCAGTGACGCTTGGTTCTTGTACAATGTTCTTGCAAACTGGTAGATGTGCATTATTATATGCTCAGCACGATGATCACCAAATCAAAACAAAAACGAGCGTCCAGGTCTGGAGCGGAAGCTATGCCGCATGCGAGGGCCGGTACGCGGTACGATACTTCTTTGCACGAAGTCAAGTACGAGTCGTACAAAGTCAAGTACAAACGTTTCGTAGTAGGTCGACTAGACTGTCATGAACTGCGAAACCTCGCGTTGTTGCGACACTCCGGAGTCCGGATCCGACAGGACATGCGACACAAGAGTCTGGTCATGGTACATGTACTGATGTAGTAGATCTACGATGCGTACACACGCACATGATCTCGATATCGGATATATCACGCTAGGTACGGTAAAAAAGGTACGGTACATATCTGATGTATCGATATGTACGGGTACAACCAGAGCGCACTGCACCGCTGCATGCAGTCATGCACTGATCGACACGATTTGTGTGTGGGATATGCGCGCAACCGACTTTTCTTGCGTGGCTGGCCTGGGCGCTGCGCATGGGGAATCCACTTTGCAGAAATTTTTGATCCGTTGGTGAAGTAAGTTGTCGGACAACTGGCGTGTTGATCGAAAGCTGGCCCTTCTCTAATTTTCCCAGCAGGGAGCCTGTGGATAGGTGCTGGAGTGTCTTTACAGAGAAATATCTCCCTGGAGAAGTTTGTTTTTGCGAAAGTGAGCCCTTAGCTTAGTTCGTAGCAGTGTCGGTATAGATCACGCAATGGCGAAGCCGCGCGTTCTGATTCTTGGAGGCGAGTACAAAAACTTTCTTTCTCTTTGGGGAGACATGGAAGTGGAAATAATCCCTCTGCCTGTACTTTCGTAGGTTGCGGATTTGTGGGGCGGAATCTCGTGGAATACCTAGTTGACAATGAATTTTGTTCGAAGGTAATGATGTGTGGTTTTCGAGCTTTAGTCATGCAGTGTGCCATGTTGTTTCAATCTACATCATTGCTCTTGTGGAATTTCTGTAACTCTGTCATGCATGCAATACTTGTCCGGTGCAGTAATAGTTCTATATCACACTCACATGGGGTATTATACTTGTGCTTGGTGCATTGCGTTTCTTTGTGCAGATTCGCGTTGCGGACAAAGTGCCAACTCAAACAGCATGGCTGAATGAGAAGCACAAGGTTGGTAATAGTGCAGTGATAGTCGGTGGTGTCCTTGTTTTGTGGATGGGGAATGCGCTAGTTGTTCTGAAACTGGAGTGTACAAGGTGTCTATCTGACGCTTGAATGATGTACGCGGTGCCCCAGTCGGACACCACCTTCGCAATCGGTGTCAACTCGTTCTGCTAGCCCACGAGCAGGTGGAAAAGCATGATTATTTACAAAATGATCATGTTGAAATGCAGGCTGTGGAGCTAATACACGTCGCTGTGCTGTTATGCTGAACACCTGTGCATGACTGTGTGCTTACAATACTGCTAGTATTGACCAGTTGTTCAACAGTAGTTCACTGATCGTGTCCTGCTGCTGTGATGGGTGTGTTGGGCTGCACAAGTTCCAAACTGGCTTCCCAGTTCTCTTACTATCTACGTTGTACTGTGCTATGCAGCACACCGTGATTGCAATACATTAGGTCTGGGGGGGGGGGGGGGGGGTCAGGAAATGTTAGACCAGTTTGATCTTCCAACACCCTTGCGCAATCTTGCTGTCAGTAAATGCGCGTGGCTCCCATGACGCACCACGTTCAATAGGCGCTCTACAAGCCGTCAACATTAGGCCAAGTCAAAGAACGTTTTCTGTTCCTGGTTTCATTGACACACAGGCGTGCACACATACACACACACACACACACACACACACACACACACACACACACACACACCACACCACACACATACACGGAGGATGTTTGTCAGACTGATTGCACTTGTTACACCGATACATGCGTATGCCACCTTTTCCCCTTGCATTTACTCCCCCATCCACCCACCGACACATGCACACACGCGCACACATGCCATCAAACCTCTTCAGGACAAACACCATGGCATGGGGCTGCTTAAATTTGTTCCCGCGAACTAGAACTCGTATTCGTATTTTATGTGCGAGTATCTGTGGCAAACAATCTTGGCGTGCTGGACGCCTGAAGACCAGCATTGGATTGCTGGCCACCTTCTGTAGTGGTGTGGACAATATCGCCGCACAGGCAACACCTGGTTCCAGCGCCCACCCATGGGATCAGCCTTTCGCAGTCTTTGGACGCGGTTTGCCGTGGAGACCAGGATGACTCTTGCGTGTCCAACACATGTGGTGCCAAAGACATGAAAGGATTGCAGACCAAGTGGTTGCTGAAACCAGGTGGTCTTGCAGACCAAGTTTCACCTGTACTTGTTCTCCAACAAGTCTCACTCAACTTGGGTTTGGCTGTGGACAGGACTTGCGCCTGTCTTCCTAACCAGATCGTCGATTCGATGTTTAGTTCAGTAGGAGTGTGTATTTCGTGCCGATCGTCAGAATTGTGCACTGTGAACATCCAGTGCTCTGTTCTGATTACAGTCAACTTTGTGTATAACGACACTAGGCGGGGGGATCAGAAAAGTCTCCTTATACCCGAAGTCTCATTATATGTATACAGGTAAATGGGACTTTTGTCTGGGCATGGAAATTCTGTCGTTATTCGCAAACTGTCATTATACCCGCAGTCGTTATTAGCGAAGTTGACTGTATCTGCTTCTGATCTGAATGATATCAAATTGTAACCGTGTGCTAATGCTCACTATTGGTGCTGCTGGTGTTTTTTTCATTGTGTAGGAGTGCTTCGAGAAGGTCGAATTTAAGTCTGCCAACCTCGTCAATCCAGGTATGCCATGCCATGCCAGCACGACCCGGTACTTACTCTAGCCCGCGGTCCGATATTTTGGGTGGTTGCCATGAGCTCTGACTTTACCTCTCACGTGACATGTAATGTGACATGCTCTTGTTAATTGAATCATTGGAAATTTAGGACGCATCCCATGCCACTAGCCATGTTCACTGCCAGACGGTAACTACGTTTGTCTTCAGCTTTGGTGCTCGGTCATGTTGTTGGGAACATATTGGCGTGAACGCGTATCGTTGTTTCTTTCCACTTTTGTTGGATTTTGTTAAATCTCTTGCGTCAGAGGGGATATAATTATTCCACACCAATATGCCATCATCCCAACTTATTTTTTTGTGATGATTTGCGTCGCCTTTCATTCTTCTTCTTTAGCTAACATGGACCGTGTCTTTGATGACGCTGACGGTGGATGGGACTTCGTTTTCAACCTTGCTGCGGAAACTAAATACGGCCAGACCGATGAGGTGAGTTTGTTTGTTTCCATGTCCGTATACATTGTCAGTTGTCTCTACTGTCTTCTTGTCGGCGTTGGTAGCTGCACATGTCGATTTTGAATCAAACCATTCCAGACTGTGTCTTATTTGTGCCGAATGGCTATCACCCTTCGTTTCACATTCATTTGTCATCAGCAGTCGTTTGACGAGCCAGGAAATGTTGAATCAATGCAAACACTTGGAACTCTACTTTACCAATCAATCGGATGTTGTGTAGAATAAAATAAAGCAGCTGGCCAGTGTCTACTTTGTTCTGTAACAATCCCTGCCATGCAGCACCCTAATCTGTTTGACCCTGCTCCTACACATGTTTTAGTGTGCCATGTATCTACATCGGAATGAGGGCTGGCGAGCGAATGGGATTTTTCATACTCGTTGCGTAATATGGTGTACATGGAAATTGATGTCTGTCCCCCCTTGTTTTGACTGCTGTCCTGTGCAGGTCTATCACGAGCGTGTGTTCATGATCACACAGAACGCCGCACAGGAGGCTGCAAAGCGTGGTGTAAAGCGATTCATTGAGGTTTCCACGGCCCAGGTCTACAACAGCGATAAGGTTAGCTTGGTGTTGGTCTGTCTGACACTCTGTCGATGGCGTAACATCTGTTTATAGCTGGTACATGTATCCCTTTTGTGGTCACTCCTTTGAATGGACATTGAGTTCGCTGGTTCTAACCTCGTGTGTTTTCATTCATACATACACACTCACGCATCTCGTTTGGATGAGTATTCCCATTCATTCACATGCCTTGCTTGACCTTCAGTCTTCTTCCATCTTCTTTTTCCCCAGGATGTCAGCACGGAAAGCAGCAAGGTATCGCCGTGGACTGCCATCGCTAAATTTAAGCTCAAGGCGGAGGAGGAGTTGGCAAAGACAGCTGGGTAATGCAACAGTAACCAAATGCATCTCTTGTTCGCATTGCACAGGTGTTTGGAACAAAATCCATGCTGTTTTCCGTTCACTGTGTATATTTCAGTCATGTACTTCCTCCGCGTCATCGAAATTGTCGCAGTTTGACTAGTGACTTGTCACTTGTTACTGACAACTCCGTAAGCTAAACCATTCAAAAATTATAACACAGTATGATAGTCTGAAGACTAGAGTAACGTTCCAGGACAGTTGGACTGAGAGTTTTCACGCCGAGATGAAGTCCTCGTCGTCACTGATGTCAATGGACGCAAAAAATATCGTTCCGAAATATTTCAAGGAAGGTTGAAAGTTGGTCGCGCCTCATCTCAAACGCTTTGACTTTCTCCACAGGACAAGAGCTGCTATGCTTGTCGTCTACTAGCTCTGGATGATTTCTACTTCACCACCAACGAAGTATGAATACACGATCCAGGGTGCGTAGCACCCTTGAAAACCCTTGAAAACCCTGAAAGTTTTTCTTCCCCCGGGAATTCCCTGAAATCCCCTCAAATTTTGTATTTTATTAGAAAATGTCCCTTGAATCCCCTGAAATTTGTTTTCCAGATCACGCGACCTGGTAGACTTCCGTACTCAGTGACTGACTGTAGATATACATGATATGCATAGATCTACGAGTGCCAGTCCGGTCACCTGTGCTGGTCATGTGAGTCGACGGCCTCAGCGGTAGGCCTAGCCCAAATTTGCTCGGGGCGCTTCGATATTTTGCCGGCAAATTTTGCCCGATCACTTTCCATATTTTGCTAGGCATTGCCTTTCGTTTCCGATATTTTGCTCCATTTTGCTCCTGCTTTGTGGCAAAAATGGCTTCGAATGAACTGTCTAGTGTCTACTTTGGTAAAAGTGGATGGTGACTCTGATGAGCAAAGCAAAACTTATAATGGTGTCAGTATTACGGATTTGGTAGCATGATTTCAAATTGATGTACCACTGACAACCTGAACGAGCTATTTCAGCACGATGTTGGCCCAATGAAACCAAAGAAATTTGAATAAAATTGCCAAAACACACCCGGATCCTCTGTAAATTCGATATTTTGCTCGGAATTTGCCAGCAATTTCTTTTCGTTGGAAAATTCGATATTTTGCTGGAAGAATTGCCGGCAAATTTGGGTTAGGCCTACTCAGCGGCCAGCGCAGCTCGCGTAGATCTTTACGGTATTTTTTACATTTGAGCCTTGATCGCCATGTACGCTCGACTATCGACTGCGGTACGACGGTTCCTGACTTTAGCGAAACTGGAATCCGCCACTGCAACTGCTTTTCCGTTTTATTTGTTTGTTTTGGCCTTCAACAAGACAAAGTGTCTTCAGTTTTTTTTTCGGAATGCCGAAGACGTTTTACAGAGTTGTACTTGTTCTCCATGCCGAAAGGCAAGTGTGTTTTCAACGATCGCTGGTTGTCTTTGGACCCGTACAAAGACTGGCTAGTTCGCTAAGAACTCAGCGATGGAGAAGCTCGATGGTGACGGTGGCTCTAGTACTTGTAGTATTTTATTGATGATCAAATCTTCGATTATTGACATTCTGAATCAGTGAACCTCTGCTTGGCTACGGATATGTGGTGTCTAGCGACTGTATGACATCTGTGAATACCCTTGAAATGCCCCTGGAAATCCCCTGAAATTTTGTGTATATGTTGTGCTACGAACCCTGACGATCGTTGCGAGGTCGGTTGATTACCGTCGGCGAAATCACCTTGATCTTGAAATGAACTTTTTTTAGCCGTGGCATGCCCATTTATTTTAGCTTTGTGGTCACAGCTCGTGCAGGTAAGTGTACTATCACGTCCAGCACGACCTCTTTTTCAGCATCACTGGTACGGCACCTGCGTGTGCATCACTAGCACTACGTGTAGAGTCTACACGGCTCTTGCAGGTACAATCATGTACTTAGTGTCTCAGCCAGAGCGACACATTTTATCGCTGTTGCATGCATTTAGTTTGCTGACCCCTCGATGTTTCTCCAAGCGCTGCCACTTGTTCCACGAAGTCATTCTCACCCCAGCTAAGGTAAAACAGTGATGAGGCTTGAGTGAATGGCCATAAGCACGAGAAATGTGCAGGCTGCAACGCCTGACTGATCTCTTCTCAGCGAGTCGAAATTACCATCGCAGCGACATCAGCGAAGAAATTGCGTCTAGTTCAAATATTTCAGCTTCCAATTTCAGAAAATAGAACTTTGCCGTCACCCTATACTGATGACTATCGCCTATGTCCGATTCCTTGCCTGTATCACGAGTGCTGGTGAGTAAATACCCCGTTTTATGTCAAAAGTGAAACTGCGACAATTTCGATGACGCGGAGGAAGTATCTTCTACCTAGTATCTTCTCTCCTTGCCAATTCAATGTCCTGTCCTGTCGCTGTCTTTCTTCCTGTACCCTCAGGCTCAACTACGTCATTGTACGGCCTGCCGTCATCTACGGTGTTGGTGACCGCCTCAGTCTCAGTAAGTGAAGGCAGCAACCTGCTTGGTTGTTTTGGCACTGCACGGCTTTTCCACATCCAGATTCTCTCTCTCATGCATGCACACACACACACACACACTTACACACTTAGCAGCTCACGTTTCTTAGCCATGCAAGCAGTGTGTACAAACGGTGACCTGACCGTATAACGTGGACCTACTTCATCACCACCGCCTGAGACGCTTGCCTTTTTTTTCTTTTTGGGAATCCTTGCAAGCTTTTTACAACAGCAATGCATCGTACTTTTTCTTACTGCAGCGCATCTTTAGGTCTTGCCCTCCATTGCTAATTGTGAGTATATTCTGTGCTCTTCCCCTTGCTTTGTGCAGCACCAAGACTTATCATCGGTGCTGTGTACAAGCAGCTTCAGGAAGTCATGAAGGTAACTATCACTTCTGTGCTGGTCACCAGTTCATATAATTTGGTTGATTCTGGCCATCTATATAAGTTTTCATATCCGTGTGCCCTTTCCAGTCTCCTTATGCCGACTTGTATTTCTTTCGTACGCGTGACCGCTTATGCTCCCTACTTTCAAACGTGTATCCTTTCCTACCTAGAAGCATGCACTTTTGCACGTGGCAATTTGCGCCTCAACCCCACTTGTACTTTCCTATCTCCTGTTCCCAACGGATTTGAATGCATCTACTGGCTAGTTGCAGTGCGAGGCTACATTTGTGTACTGTAAAACATGTAATTTTAGGTGCATTAAAATTTCGGTGCTAGGGACCTGCCAGGTTTCAGGTGTTATTTAGAATTAGGTGACCAGCGTTCCCTTCACATACAGTGCATACTCTAGCGCCTTTTACAGTCCATTCATAAAAAGATGGGCCCTGGCTCTGGCGAGCTCCCGTATTTGGCGATTTTCCGTGATTTCATTGTACACAGTGCAGTGCTGTGAAATTTGAACTTTGAAAAAGAGTCCAAAAAGGGTACCGGAACTGGGGTTCGAACCCCTCAATGCACTGTTGCAGGCGGGCTCAAACGGCCTGGATTTTGATGGTTTTTCCCAATTCAATGCTTTTGGGGCAAAACCTGGCCGATATTCTATTCTTGTTATGGCTTGCTTTTTGGACAAATAGACTTCAGAAACATAATTGGAAGAGGATTCCTTAGGGGATTGCAGAAAAAAATTCTAAAAAAACTCAAAGTTTGACCCATTTATGGCCAAAAGCTAGAAGTTCATCTTTTTCTGAATGGACTGTAGGTGTAATTTAAATTTAGGTTCTTGTTTTCTATACCGAAATCACAGAAATTAAAGTTACACCGAAAATTACATGTTTTACAGTATTTTAAAAGCTTCATATTTGTGTATCGGTATTCAACAGCTCCTGTGGACCAAGGACCTGCGGATAAACACAGTTCACGTGACCGATGTATGCCGTGCCCTATGGCACTTGCGTGACGCCTCAGAGAGCGGACAGGTCTTCAACTTGGCTGACAAGACAGACACCTGTAAGTGGCATATGCGAGGTGCTGCGGTGGACTTGACGCTTCCACTGTGTAGTATGGTGTTCTCACTCTCTCTCTCTCTCTTTTGGTATGTGTGTCTCTGTCTGTCTCTCTCTCTCTCTCTCTCTCTCTCTCTCTCTCTCTCTCTCTCTCTCTCTCTCTCTCTCTCTCTCTTCTGTGTGTGTTCTAAATACTGTCCTGTGACTGTTGCTGTGTTCTGCATTGCCCTCTGCAGCGCAAGGCGTTGTCTCAGAGCTTGTATCACAGATATTTGGCATCAAGCACGACTACGTCGGATCAGTGATGTCGAACCTTGCAAAGGTACGGATGCTTTTGATCTGCTACTCGGGCCCTTTCCCTGTTTCTACCTTTGCTTTGCAAACCATTCAGTCTCATTGTCTTTCTATGCGCTACAGCCTTTTATGGTCACTTGTTTCTCAAAGGGGCACGAGCGTGGCTCTACCGTTCAGTTAGTAGCCAATTAAGGTTAATATGCTTGCATCTATCATGTGTGCCTTTGTTTGCATTCAGGTGAACATGAGCAGTGTTGTCGAGGATTCCAACGAAAAGCACATGGTACCTTGGGCAGATGCCTGTCAGAAGGATAACATTGAGAATACGCCTCTGAGTCCCTTCCTCGATCAGGTACGCTCCTCTCTCTCACTCTCTGTCTCTTTCTTATTCCGTCTGTATGTGTTACCGTCTAACTTTTTTCTGACCCGTGTCGATGTGGCTCTCTCATGTATTGTGTGGCAAGAGTGTGTCCAGCCAATGTGTGCCGACCTGTCTTGCTATCGAGATGCTTCCAATATCGATTTCCCAACGAAAAATAATGCATGGTCATCGTGTGGAAATCCTTTTTTTGCATCAACTGCAACGGGGATGAGTGTGGATGTAGTTATTTGCAACAATGAACGACAGGGAAAACATCCTGTAGGGCCAACCAGAATTAGTTCATTGCTTTGGGTCTCTCCACTCGGCTGCAATTAGGTCGGTGTAGTTCTCGTTTTCTTATGAGCTTGGCAAGTAAAGCAGGAATGCATGCCACGCTTTGCATGGCTCGACTCTGTGTGTATCCTACGGACGACCCAGCACTCTCCTGGCGCAAGCCCCGGATCTTGGCTGCATAGGCAAACACGAGCCGGATCCATTAGGGCATCTCTCACCGACCTACGGGGCGATTGAGCCGTAATTCCACCCTCTTTGTACTTGCTGGACTACTAGTAAATTAGTTAATGTATATTTTGGCGGTTGCGTTGAAAATGGCTATGAGGTGACCCAACACAGCAAATCGATAATGGCTGGCTTAATATTGTACGCTTGTACCACTCCTGGTTAGAATAGAATGTAAACTTTTGAATGCTTGGGGGGGGGGGGGGAGCATGGTGTGCCGCCAGTTTTAGCCAGAAACCAGTAATTGGCGTAGCTAACTGGGCCAGTGCGAACACACCAAAGTGCAAGTGCCGTGCAGGATTGAGTCCCAGAGAGCAGGTATCTGTGTCGTCACACCATCCCAAGAGACCAACAACTTCCAACGATCCCAAATAAGCTAGTGTTTTGAATATGGGGACACTGTAGTAAGTCACGAAGTACTAATATGGTGCAGGTAATCCTTACACATGTACTTGCATCTGTTTCGGAGTGTATCACGTTGGATGAGATTATTCTCTTTGTGGATTTGTACGAAGCTTGGATCCTGACACTCCAACCGACTATTATCAGCAGACAGTGTTTGTTGTTATGCTGTAGTGTGGCAATGCCGGAGTGTTGGGTGTGGGTGTCAAAAAAGAAAAAGAAATATCCGTTGGTTCGAGGGAAAAAATGTAACAAATTAAAAAAATTAATAAGGATTCACTGGCCAAAAAAAGCCAATTCAATCAGCTGTGTGGTGTAGGCCAGGCTAAAATTGGTGGCGGTCGATTCAGCAGCCTTGCACACTGCTGAATTGTGTAATCCCAGCACTCGTTTGTATGTCTAACATAGCTTGTTCGCTATCATTGCTTCAGCGATGGGCACGTGATGAGTGGAAGTGTGGTAATGGTAGTTGGTCATCCCCAGCTGCTCACTTAGGGCAGTTTTTGAACTACGGAGAGCCAAGCTGGTATTCTAACACTGCATCGTGCTCTTTTTGTGTGTAATTCCAGGAGCTTCTGTACAACAAACATTTGCACATCGATGGCTCCAAGATCGAGGGCACTGGATTCTCCTACGAGGTTCCTCAAATCACAGAAGGAAAACTGCGAGAGGTAGGGCACCGAAGCTTTTTTGATATATTTTTTCTACGTACAATATACTCTTGTAGGAAAGTTGGTTGCTCTCACACTTCAGCTCGTGTCAATGATACTCTTTTTCGTATTACTTTTCTGGCCTGTTTTATGGACAATATCAGTCCATGTCTTGTCGTCCGCAGCAATTCTCTGTGCATTTATTTTACCCATGAAACTGTACTTTGTCATTGCATGAACACTTTGTCTCCGTTGTCTGACAACAGTCACAGCGCGTTTGGTTCATATCCTGTGTGCGCATGGTCTGAAATGGCAGGGGTGCCTCTTTTCTATTTGCCAGCTTGGGTCGCAACTAATTACTTAGCGCTGTGCGATGTGAATCAGCTGTGTGATTTGAATCCAAACATCTGACCGTAACCAATGCATCTACCTTAATAACATTTGCAAATTCATCTGGTGACCGTAGCACAGGCATCAACATCCTCACGGGTTTCGTCAAGAGTACATCCTTCCCGCAGAGTGTGTAACTGCTGACGGTGGCTGTTACCGCTCGTTTTCAAAACTATGTCTTGTTCATGATGTGATGCCATGTTGATCTCTGTGTTGCCTTCCTTCACTTTTTTCCATGTGTGCCTAGGTTGTCGATGACTACGTCAAGCTCCGTCTGTTCCCCGCTTCGCTTGTTCCTTGAGCAATGATCTAGCGTCCTATTCTCTTCACGCCTTTCTGAAAACAAAACTTATTTATGCTTTCCCTTCCTGCGAGGTAGGTTTTATGCGCTCAGATCTCTCCCTTTGCTTGTCTCCGTTGCTTGTCGTATCTCGCTTACGTACCTTCCCCTCGTGATATCGAGGTGGATGTGTGCTCGCGCAGAAGCTTTTACCGGCCTATATTATACTTATATCATTGTCCTTAAGAATGTCTAAATCTCGTCGTGCTTTATTTTGATCAATGTCCCCCCTCCTGAGCCTGACATCTTCCTGTATTCCGGTGCTGCTGTACCACTCAGCTTGATTTCGTAACTCTATTTATAGGTCATTGCACAGCAGCGAGGGCCCTGTGGCTTCTTAGTACCCGACGGCAAGCCTGGAAGGAGCGAACGAGCCATTCGGCCCGAACTGACATGCACTGGCTTTTTTAGAACTAGGTTGTTATTCTCGTTGCCTAGCAGCTGACCAAGCAGATACTTTCCCAACGAGGTCACACAATTTAAACAAACTACATGTAGAATTACTTTAGAAAAGATTCTGCATTGTATATTGCAGTTTTTTTGTGTAGTGCTGTTCAATTCTAAAGATGGTAAAACCGAAGTGCAGCCTTACCATTGTGACTCTGTGTGTGGACAGGTATGTGCGTTGTTCGTGGGACTTTAAAAGTCCCCCTCCCGTTTGTGAGACATGGTGCTTGTGCTGGGTCGTGGCCTGGTGGGGTTCAGCTAGCTGTTGGAAATAAGCAGCTGTACGCATTGCGCTGTGCTGGGTGTCATCACTGTATAATCTTGTGTTGAAGCTTGCAATTGATTGCATAGAATTAGAACTGTGGCGTACAGTACTGCATTGTTCGCATGGCTTTAAATGCAAACCAGTGATCTACAACAGTTACTGCTGTTATTCATCGGTTTGCTTTTTTGAGGGAATGAGAAGAGAACGGCTACTCCTTTTTTTGTAGACTGTCCCCATCAGGACCCATGATATATTTATGAGCTCAAATCAACTTTTTCGCGATGCGACGCGTTTCCCGTACGCGAAATAAAGTATGAATCAGGGTACGTCATGTCACAGTCTACAACAACATGTAGTGGCATGTTTGATTGGTCGGATTCAGATCAAATAAATTCACCGGAGCAGTCAGAACAACAGTCAACAGTGCCCACTGCCCAGTCGAACAGAACAGAGAGTATCACATGTCACGTGAGTGTTTCCTAGGATCGGACCAATCAGTTATCACTGATCTGTAAGACTAAAAAAAAAAAGCGCTAGCGGGCAATAGATCAGTCCAGAGAGGTATTTTACGACTCCCTGGATCAGTCCAACGCCCGTCATCCGTGACAACCCTGAGAGTGAGACTGGATGCATGAAATCTACGGGATGTGAGTATGGTGAATGTGTACAGTGCAGTGTACATGCCTGTGTGTGGTGGAAAGTGCCGATCTCAAGCTTTTCTATTTCTTTCCTCTCAAGTGTGCACACGAGGTCGACTTTCTCCTTTATAATAAACAATAATAAATAAGCCTCTGGGTCATCCTAATAAAGATCTGTTTTCAAGTCCGCTTGCACCCGGTCTGACCCTCCTACTGTACGACTTGTAGAGGCACGATATGGCTTTAGTACAATTTCTTATTTGGGCGCTGCTAGGTGGAATACACTTCCACCGGCTTGCCGCATGTCAAGTTCACCAGCTGAATTTCGCTCATCCATCAAATTATACCTAGGGTTCCCTGTAAAAAGGCGCTGACGCCTGTTGGGAATTCCCTAGTAAAAGAAGAATAAATAATAATAATAATAATAATAATAATAACTAGCATGCCTGGAGGAAGCCTATCGCTCCTGTTGTTCCTCGCGGCGTCTAGACATTTGGACAGATGGCAGTGTCTCTGACACCAACGCTGGTGGAGGTGGTTTTCTTGTCATGGAAACCACTGAAACCCAGCGGTCAGAGATATTGTCTGGGTGTCTACCAGCTGGTGCCGTCGCAACATCCTTCACTGCCGAAGTAGCAGCAGCTGGCCTGAGGGCAGTCTACGACTCTACGACCTTACCACCATGGAGACGGACGTTGTGCTGGTCACTGACAGCCTCACCCTCGTAGATGCCCTCCGTGGAGACCCATACAGGATCAGCCCAGACACCATCGCTGCGTTCGATGCTCTGACAGAGGTTGCTCGGAAGGCTCATTCCATCAACCTTGTCTGGATCAGTAGCCACTGCGGTGTTGCTCTCAATGACAAGGCGGATCGCCTTGCCCGGAATGGAACACAGTGTGTACAGGCCCAGGTTCAGCTACCTATCCAAGCTGCCAAGGCTTCAATTCGGTCTGCAACCGCATACCCCCGTCCATTGCTCAACAGTCAACACCAGCAAGTTCCGCAGCCCTCCGTCCCGGCATGAGACCACCATCCTCAATCAGCTCCTCATTGGCCACTGCAGCCTGCTGAACAAGTACTTGTTCCAGATTGAGGCTGCACCTTCACCCGATTGCACTTACTGTCCTGGAACAGTTGATGATGCTGCCCACCTCCTGCTAGCTTGCCCTGCCAGACACAACAGTCGAGCAGCTACACGTCTATGTACCTTCACGTCAGTCAGGGAGGCAATTCTCACACAGCCATCAGAAGCTATCCAGTTCTTGCAACTGGAGAAACTGATCTAAGTTTCTACTACATGTACACTGTACTTTCACAGTCATTTTCATATTTATTATTACTTGTAGTTACCGAAGCAGAAGAAGAAGAAGAAGGAAAGTAATTCGCACCAATAAAAACTGGTGGGTAAAAAAACCGTCTCGACTGTTTTTTAGGCAGTGACGGAGAAAGTAAAAGGAGAAAAGAAACAGAAAAAAGGAAGCGGATGCCACTGTGGGCCAATGCCTGGGGTTGAGCAAAAACGGTGAAGGCTAAAAAGCTCTTCAGAGCGGGAGCAGGCCAGTACTCAGCGTAGTGCAACTCTTAAGAAGAAGAAGAAGAAGAAGAAGAAGAAGAAGAAGAAGAAGAATAAAGATATTATTGTGAAAAGAAGAAGGACAAAATGTTACGAGTTATGTCCTTCTTCTTGTCACAATAATTTAATTGCAGCATACTGTGGCGCAGCATAACCCGGTGGGTCAGTGCCTTGAAACCGCCTTCAGGTGCTTCGGATTAGAGCAACTGGTCAACTTCCCTACGCACTGGAGCCCAAGTGGCCGGTCATCTTGCTTGGACCTCATCATCACAAATTCACCCCAGCAGTTCCTCTCCGTTGATTCAGCCGCTCCACTGGGTAGCTCTGACCACGTGCAGCTCATCTGTCGAGTCCGTCTCCCTGTCACGTCCAAAAATCCAACCCTACAACATCACTTCCTCCCAACATCTACCCCTACACCCCCAGGTTATAATTTCAAGTTGGTGCCACGTTGCGTATGGGATGACCTGAATGCTGAACTTACTGATGTCCACTGGAAATGTCACCTCCGCAGCTCGCACGTGGATGACGCTCTTTCGTCTTTCCACTCTATTCTTAGCAGGGCCATGGAGAAGCACCTCGGGTACTTCTCCCGGCGTCCACTCTCCCCCTCATGCCGACGTTTAGGTCAGCCACCTTGGGTTGATGCCCCCCTCCGTGCCGCCATTAAGGCAAAGCACGATTTCTACAGTGTGTGTAAGAAATACCCAACCCAGCTTAACATGCATGTATATCGATCTCAACGGAACTTGGTGAAGAGTCTGACTCGATCGAAATACCGGGGATACATTCGGTCCGTACAAGCTACGCTGCAGGACAAAAACCGCCCATCACTGTTTCAGTTCGTGAGCAAATTAAAAAATCATAAAGTATCTCGTGACATCCCGACACTCACCAATAGTTCTACACAGCAGGCTACTACCTCTTCAGCTAAAGCCACTGCATTGAACTCTCAGTTCGCCTCAGTGGCCGTGCCTGATGACCCTTCTCTACCCATTCCCCCCCCCATTGCCGAGGAGTCGGGTGAGGCTGACCGCCTCACATCTGTCTTTACTACGACTGCTGCCATCCGACGTTACATTCGAAAGCTCCCGTCTGACAAGGCGCCAGGCCCAGACAGCATCACTGATCTGGTATTAAAGTCCCTTGCGCCCTCAATAGCATACCCCTTATGTCTGATTTTCAACCTATCATTCCGCACTGGTCGTTTTCCCTCTGCATGGAAAACAGCTAATGTTATAGTATTAATTATTACCGATATACAAGAAAGGGTCCCGCCACGAAGCATCAAACTACCGTCCGATATCTCTACTGTCCTGTGTTTCCAAACTCTGTGAGCGCGTTTTCTACGACCAATTGTACTGTCATGTCTCGTCACGTTTGAGTTCAGCTCAGTCCGGATTTCGCAGAGGCGATTCTACCACCCTCCAGCTGACGCGCCTGGTGCAATTAGTGTGTCGACATCGGGATGCTGGAGACCTAGTCGGGATCTGTTTTTTCGATCTTGCCAAGGCCTTCGATACCGTCTGGCACCGGGGGCTCTTGGCCAAGCTTCGTGGATCGTTTACTGTAGACGGCAATCCCCTGCTATGGCTGACATCTTACCTAACTGGGCGAACGCAGTACGTCACGGTACATGGGACGTCCTCAGCCGACACAACAGTACTATCCGGAGTTCCCCAGGGTTCCATCCTCGGCCCCCTTCTTTTTATCTTATACGTCAATGATCTGCCCGCAGCTGCCCCGGGCACATCACTATTCGCAGACGACACAACGCTCCTACGGGCATCTCCTAACATCACTGGCCTGATGAGTAACCTAGCTAACGGGATTCAAAGAGTAATTTCCTGGATGTCGTCTTCGCGGTTATCGCCCAATCTGTCTAAAACTAAAATCATGCTCTTTCCTTCTCAGCCTGATGTTCCGCCCCTCCTCCATCCCACTTTCCCCCAGCCTATAGACATAGTCTCCAGCCATAAGCATCTTGGCATTTTCATTGACTCTAATCTTTCATGGGAACCCCACATCGATTACATATGTAAACGATCAAGTTCATCTTTAGGAATCCTCTCTTCTCACTGTTACCATCTCCCAATCTCTTGTAAACTCCTCTTTTACTCAGCTTACATACGCCCCATTTTTGATTATGCAGATACTGCTTGGGCTGGAATTTCCACAACCCGTGCTGAAAAGCTCGAAATTCAGCACAAAAAAGTTCTAAAAATCCTCCTCCGGAAACCCCGCATGCTCCCATCTTCCACCCTTTATGCCCTTGCTCACACTACCCCTTTGTCTAAGAGACGTAATTCACATCTTGTCACCCTTATCCATTCTCTCAAACTCAATCTGTGTCCACCTCACCTCCACTGTTTCAACTGGTTTTCTTCCCGTAGCACGAGAAACTCCCTTTCCCTTCCGAAACCTAAGTCCTCCTTTCTACTTCACTCTCCCCTTTTCACTGCGTACTCTGCGTGGCTGGCACTTCGCCAAGAAGCTAAGGACCTTTCTTCCCTCCGCCTTTTTAAGAGCCTTGTCGCGCCTTGACTTTGATTTTGTGTTTCTCATTTTGTTGCAATCACTACTTATCCATGCCGGTTCCTTTTTCTTCTCCTCCCCTTCTCCCTTCCTTGCCGTGGTTGGCTAACACCCTCTCTCTTTGTATTGG